TCAAGGGTCAAGAAAATAGAACAGATCAAAATATATCTTAGGATACTCTCTCGTATGCCATGCGCAATGACGGAGCCACATAGGGCCAGGGGGCCCGTGGGCCCCCCTCACTTTTTTTTTTAAAAAAAAATCAATATATATACATATAATACTATAAAATATGTATAAATATATATATTTACTATATACTAATAATTAAAATTTATTAAAACTCAATAAATATATAAAAAATACTATAAAATATGCATAAAAATGTAAAAAATAGTTACAATATATTAGTAGTTAACCTTATTTTCCATGTTATTTTTATTTAGATTACTAATATTATTTATTTATTGAAAAATATACTAACAATTTTTAAATTTTAAATTTTTAGATAAGTTTTTGAATTTTTTTGAAATGATTTACTATTTCGGTCTCTTAATTGTAAATCGATTTAGTGATTTATGAAACTGGGTATTTATTAGTTGGAATGTTATATTCTTTAATGTTTGATTTTTTACTCTCCTTTTTTTGTTGTGTGTAATCACATATTTTTAACTTTATTTATTTATTTTTTTCAAATGTTTATTTGATAAACTTTCATCAACAAAAATGTTATGGAATGTTGTATAAAAGTTCAACTTAAATCAAATTTTGAACCAAAACATATTTTTCAAATTATAGATGTTGAATTTAAATTATAAATACATAAAAATCTAGTATTTTTGTTTATTTTTTTAAAAAAGTTTGAAGGTGATACGGATTCTAAAAAAACTTGATGGTACATCATCAATATTATATTTATAGTAAATACAATTTTATATGAACTCAGTGTTACGACTTAAACTACAAGCTCGTTAACGTTTAAAATCGGGCCCCCCTGAATAAAGTTTCTAGATCCGTCATTGGCCATACGTCTACGTGTGGAGTGTTTCTTTCCTTAGGAAAATAGAAAAGCCGTTTTTGGAAGATGGAAAAGGTCAAAATAACGGCAATTGGATATTACCACGTAAGGACCTGGCCTTGTACATATACCTGTTCAATTTAATATACTATTGTGCTTGCTAATCCTTGGCCTATATATATGCAAAGAATCGAATTGTTGGAAACACAAATTAAATTTGTTATAAGCCAAAACCCCAAAAACAACAAATAAGTGCTACAAGAGTTGTGTACAACAGATTATTATTATTATTATTATTATTCATTAATTATAATGGATATTTCTTATTCATTTTTCATCAAAGTAGGTTGTTCTTTTCTGATGATTTTCGTATGCGCAACTTCATCCCAAAATACTAGGTGTCCATTTCAGTATTTGTACCATTTTGGAGATGGGGTAACTGACGTGGACAACTCCATTCTGGTTCTCCCATGGGGGCCTTCACTTCCGGCTGCACGTTCGCCTTATGGTCGAACCTTTCCCGGTTGGCCTACTGGCCGCTGGGGTGATGGTCTTATTGA